TCCAGTCCCTTCCCCAGCCTCGTTGCTCTCCTCTGGACCTGCTCCAGCCCCTCAATGTCCTTCCTGAGCTGAGGGCCCAGAACTGGACACAGCACTCCAGGGGTGGCCTCACCAGAGCTGAGTCCAGGGCAAGAATCACTTCCCTGGCCCTGTTGGCCACACTGTTCCTGAGCCAGGCCAGGATCCATTGGCCTTCTTGGCCACCTGGGCACACTCTGGCTCCTGTTCAGCTTCCTGTCCATCCACACTCCCAGCTCCCTTCCTGCCTGGCTGCTCTCCAGCCACTCTGTCCCCAGCCCGTGGGGCTGCAGGGGGTTGTTGTGGGCAAAGGTCAGGACCCGGCACTTGACCTGGTTGAACCTCATCCCCTTGGAATCAGCCCAACTCTCCAACCTATCCAGGCTCTGCAGAGCCCTCCTGCCTTCCAGCTGATGGACACTCCCCCCCAACTTAATGTCATCTGCAATTTGCTGATCCTTGTGGTCCCTCCCAGCTCAGGGTATTCCAGAATTCTATAAATTCTTGAAATCTTCATTTTCCGCCTCAGTGGTCAGATAAAAAAATACTGATTTACATTCATGTCCTTGATTTTCCCCTTATTCTGTGTTTTGTTGTTTGTTTTTTTTTAAAAAAAGTTTGCAAACACCAGCATTTCAAGCTAAAATTCCCATTATTTTTTAATCAATGGGAAATGGTTGAAAATCAACCCAGATTGGAGCAAACCAAGGGTTAAAGCTCAGCTGACTGCACTGAGCCCCTCCAGCCTTCCCAGGAGTTTCCAGCAGTGTTGGAAACGCTAAAACTACCCTGATAACTTTTCTAATTAATTGGTTTCATTAATCATAAGCAGTGTAATTGCTCTTGTGGGAACACAGTTTGGGAAAATCACCCAAACGTGAAGTTTTGCTAAACCAACCTCGATACACTTCAGTGACCAAAGCCTTGGGGGAGGAAAACACTGCTGAGAACTGGACACCAGGAATGCAGAATTTATGGACCACAAGGATGGGTTGCAGAGAGCAGAAATGAAGAAGGAACTACTAAAGATAATTCAGCATTTGCACTGAGAGCCTGTCTGGGAAAAAGAGAATAAAAAGGCAGAAAATGTGGGCACGAGAAGAGAGAAATCAAGAAGCAGTAGAGATAGAATGCTAATTAATGGGGGGAATTATGTGCTTGATAGGCAATTAATGAAGAGAATTTATAGCAAATTAACACTGAGTTCCTTGCTAACAAAGAAGAGAATTTATAGGAAATTAACACTGATTTAATTGTTAACAATGAAGAGAATGTATAGCAAGTTAACACTGATTTCCTTGCTAACAAAGAAGAGAATTTATAGGAAATTAACACTGATTTCCTTGCTAACAAAGAAGAGAATTTATAGGAATTTAACACTGATTTCATTGTTAACAATAAAGAGAATTTATAGGAAGTTAACACTGATTTCATTGCTAACAAAGAGAATTTATAGCAAATTAACACTGATTTCATTGCTAACAAAGAGAATTTATAGAAAGTTAACACTGATTTCACTGCTAACAAAGAAGAGAATTTATAGCAAATTAACACTGATTTCATTGCTAACAAAGTATAAAAAGTGAGAAGTTTGGGAAATGGGGGGGTCTCTGTGTGGAGCCACCCCCGTGTCTCCCTAAAACCGAAGCACCGCCCGCTTCCTAACGCTAAAAATAACGGGAAAATTCGATTTATCCTGATGGATCCCCCCTCCTGTGGTGTTCCCCCGATGTTTTCGGTGCCAACCCCTGGTGCCAGGCGTGATTCCCTCCCTCTCCTTGGCACAGACATCGACGAGTGCAGCAGTGGGGAGAACCTGTGCCAGCGCAACGCCGACTGCATCAACATCCCGGGCAGCTACCGCTGCGAGTGCTCCACGGGGTACAAGCTGTCACCCAGCGGGGCCTGCGTGGGTAAGAGGGCACCCCTGTGCCAGCTGTTCCACACACACACACCCTGCCCGAGGGGCTGGGCTGGCACAGCACCCGGTGTGGTCACAGGATTGCAGAATGTGCCAAAGCGGAAGGGGTCGAGTTCAGCTCCTGGTCCATCCCCGTGTCCCTGAGGGGATCATCCAAACTCTCCTGGAGCTCTGGCAGCCTTGGGGCTGTGCCCACTGCCCTGGGGAGCTGGTCAGTGCCCAACCACCCTCTTTGTCTAATATCCAACCTTTTTCTAATATCAAACCTTTTTCTAATATCCAACCCAACCCTGCCCTGACACAACTCCAGGTCATTCCCTGGAGTCCCCACAGTGCTGCCCCCTCCTCTGCCCCTCCTGAGGAACTTGTACCTGCCATGAGCTCTCCCCTCAGCCTCCTTTTCTCCAGCTGAACACACCAAGTGCCCTCAGTGTCCTCACACTTCAAATCAAGGCCCTTCCCCACATTCCCTCCTTCGGACGCTCTCTAAGAGCTTCAGATCTTTCTTGCAGTGCCCAAAACTGCCCCAATATTCCAGGTGAGGCCTCCCCAGTGCAGAGCAGAGTGGGACAACCCCCTCCCTCACCCAACTGGTGACGCTTTGCCTGGCACACGAAGGACATGCCAGTCCCCTGCTGCTCTTCTGTCACTCCCCAGGCACTCTGACCTGGCTGTGCTGTGGTTATGGCACATCTGGTGCAATTCCCAAGGATTTTGGGCTCCTGAGGGGTGATAAAAGGTCACTGTGAAGTGCAGCTCGGGCCACATTTTCCAATTACACGGAATTTTTGGTTTTTTGAAGGCATAAATCTCGTGGGTTCATGTGCAGGGCCACGAGCTGGACCCAACAATCCTGGTGGGTCCTTTCCAACTGGGCACGTTCTGTGATTCTGCTCTTCCCATCTGGTCCATCCTTTTTGCTCAGCAGTGCCCACTTGGCTCCGTTTTAGGTCGCAACGAGTGCCAGGAGATCCCCAACGTGTGCAGCCATGGGGACTGCGTGGACACCGAGGGCAGCTACGTCTGCATCTGCCACAACGGCTTCAAGGCCACGGGGGAGCAGACCATGTGCATGGGTCAGTGTGGGGCCACAGTCCGTGTGTGTGGGTCAGTGTGGGGTCAGAGTCCGTGTCCATGGTCAGTTTGGGGCCACAGTCCACGTGTGTGGGTCAGTGTGAGGCCACAAATGATGTACATGGGTCAGTGTGGGGCCAGAGTCCATGTGCATGGGTCAGTGTGGGGCCAGAGTCTGTGTCCATGGTCAGTGTGGGGCCACAGACTGTGTTCCTGGGTCACTGTGGTGCCACACACCATGTCCATGGGTCAGTGTGGTGCCACAGTCCATGCCCATGGGTCACTGTGTGCTCCTGGGTCACTGTGGTGCCACACACTGTATGAGAATCAGCCATGAGGAGGGATGGGAGCTCTCTCTGACACTTTGCTGAGCGGTGCCAAGCACAGCCAAGGGCTCCAGTGTCCTCTCAGGCTGCCCCTGGTGCCGTGCAGCCCCCTGGGCACTGCCTGCACACCCGGGAGTGTCCCCTCACTCATCCCCCACGACCTTCTCCCCGCAGACATCGACGAGTGCGACCGCCAGCCCTGCGGGAACGGGACCTGCAAGAACACAGTGGGCTCCTACAACTGCCTCTGCTTCCCTGGCTTTGAGCTCACACACAACAACGACTGCATGGGTGAGTTCCCTGGAATGCTGAGCCCAGGGATTGCTGGAGTGGAGTGTCCCACGTGGGCACTCGGGGGGTCAGCAGCGGCCGGAGGGGGTGGGCTGTACGTGCCAGAGGTGCAGGGCTGGTGGGGGTGACACTCTCATGCTCTGCATCTCTTCCTGTTTTGCTTGTCCTCTCCCTCCCACAGACATTGATGAGTGTTCATCCCTGGTGGGGCAGGTGTGTCGGAACGGCCAGTGCATCAACAGCATCGGCTCCTTCCAGTGCCTGTGCCAGGAGGGGTACGACCGGACCCCCGACGGGAAGAACTGTGTGGGTGAGTGTCTGGGCAGCACTGGGGGGAGCTGCTGCTGGGAGATGTGGTCCCCAGGCTGGGCCCATCCCAGCCAGCTGAGCAGTGGGTTCTCCAGAACCACTCACAAATCCTCTGCCACAAGTCCCAAGTCCTCTGGAACCAAAGCCTGGTTCATCTGAGTGCCTCTGGAGAGCTGGACTGAGTTCCTCTCTGCCTTCATATCCCTTCCAGCAAGGCAGGGAACAGTCAAACCTGCATCTTTCCATGTGCAGTGAGGAGAAATGCTCTGTCCATGCCCCAAAAAACCTGTGGAGTGGTACCAGGGATGCCCTGGGAACCATCCTGGGAAATGTCTTAACCTGCTTCCCTCAGACCTTTTGGGCTCAGCGGGGCCTGGGTGCAGGAGGGTCCTCTGAGGTGGGCACAGACCCCATCACGGGGTGTTTCTCTTCCTCCTCAGACATCAACGAGTGCGTGAGCCTGCCTGGCACCTGCTCCCCGGGCACCTGCCAGAACCTGGAGGGCTCCTTCCGCTGCATCTGCCCCCCGGGCTACGAGGTGCAGAACGACAACTGCATCGGTAATGTGGGGCCTCTGCCCCCTCTTGAACTGTTCCCACAGCAGCCCTGTTCTTCCTGGGTGGGCTGGGGCATCATCAGGATGGTGCATCAGCACCCCCAAACACCTTCTTGCAAGGCAAGACCTGCTCCCATGGCAGAGGAGGCTCAGGGGGTTCTCTGTGCCCATTGTTGTTGCCTTGTTTTCTCTGAGGGAGGGTTAAAGGTTGGGGACATGGTGATGTCCTGCAGGTATCAGAGCTCCCAGACAT